TAATGTAAGTCGATCCGATAGTTTCTACTGAGTATCATGCTTGAGTTATGTGAAGCGAATCGAAATATAATTTGGAAAATTGTGTTATTTTCGGGAAGTTTCGATGTCATGGTGTCAACGCTTTCCTACTTTGTGTTATTATACGAGTCGTAGGGGAATGTACCGGTGACTGAATTATTATGCCGATCCCACTTTAGGTCATTTTTATTATCCAGGAAACGTTTCAAGCGCCTGTGGTCTCGTCGTGGTGCTGACACTTCGCAATGCTATCACTCGTGTACTTACCATCCTATAGCAATTTTCGCGTTGATTCCAAGGGCTGGCATGTTTACTGAATTTCTTGGTGCGTCAGTAACACACTCGCAGGGTTGTTATCACATAAAAACTTTCTTTGGTGATCCACCTTCGGCCTTCCAGGTAACAAACAACAGCACTGGAGAGTGGCGTTTCTCGTCAACACGTTGATTGACCTTTGACATAGAGTGACCCCAAAGTTTAAACTTGAGCTCGAATTTGTTGAGGTATTTTTACACGACAAATACTCGCCGTTTTGAAAAATTAAATGCTTCTTTCAATACATATAAAAACACATAAGAATTTCCCCTCGAGTGCTTGAATACTGAGTACATGTGTCTGACCCTAATTACCCATAATGCATGAGCTTTTCAAAATGGTAGCCCCCATGATAAGATTGACGTGCAATGTGAGTCACTTAATCGAATGATTTGACAAAACACTGGCAGTTGTACATAGGTATTAGAGGGGAAACAATACTAATCAGGTATGTCAGTTTTGATCATTTTCATTAAATATGAGAGTAATAGCCAAGTTAAAATATCTTAAAGACGTGTATTTATTTTTAAAGGGGCTGACCATTTAAAACTGTGTGGAGGTGGGGTGGCTGGAAGTTTTGTTAAAAAAATCACATCGAAAGAAAAAATAAAAAAATCCCCCACACAACAATCACACTCTTTCTCTTCTTCCAGCCACCGCCATGATTTCAATTGGTAGACCCCTAAAGTGAGCCTGGAAGATTCACTACTATGTGGAGATCACAGGATTTATATATATACCCCAGTATATATATATTTATTTATTTATTTTCTATATATACGGTACATGTATATATAGAAAATTTGCTGAAGCATGTGTAGATTTACCAAAAAATGTTTTATGAAAAATTGAAGATAAGTTAATTGGCAAAACAGATATCATCATATGTCCCTCCACAGAGCCTTACACATTACCAGGACCAGCACAACCAAAACAGATGCGGCACCCCAAAAACAATTTACATCATAATAAACTGTGGCCGATCAATATACATACTGCAAATAATTTGCTTGGTGTGAAGATTTACATTAAATAAAAAGATGATCGACCAGATTACATGTACGTACATACATGTAATTTTCTGGATGTAGATTATTTTTCATTTGTATTACTCTTTATATTAATTATATTCTAGACCACAGCGCATTCTCCATACAGTTAGTAAATAGGTTACAAAATGGCTGACGACAGCGGTTCTGACAGTTTTGAGGATGAGGGAATCAGTAGTGAAGACATCTTAGACGTTATAGAATTCGAAGAAGATGAAAACGAAAGTAAGAATTGTTTTTACTACGGTACACATATACTCGTCACTTCGTTCCACATGTACTGGCTATTAATGCCAAATAAAATAAATCTAAATAAATCTCCAGTACCTACCTACACTTAGCCTGGTTACTTTGCTCTTATTTTGCGAGTCTTTCGTCCCTCTTAATAGTCTGGACATGTTGTCAAGATTTCACTCATTAACTAATGTAAATTCCCATCTACATGGCAACTGATACAGTGCCTGTAGAGTACATATAGCTATCATCCATTGTGTGGAAAATTAGCATATTATTCGGATTATGTATAGCAGTGTGCTATATTTATCAGCCAATCAATGCTAAGGTCACCCACTGACCACACTGAGCATTCATGTATGTCCAGACTATTATGGAGAGGGATGAAGAACCCACAAAAAAAGGTAACCTGAGTCTACGTGGAACTTGTATGTTTAAAGAAATCATAAAGCTTCATGTTTTTTGCTGGCTTCACAAGAATAAAATTGAAGTGGCATAAATTATTTTTGGTACGTGTACCTAAAAAGCATCGTCTGCAATTATTAATCAGTATTCTGTGTGTTTACTTGATTCTCTAACCAACAATCAATAAATAGAGTAAATTCCATTCCAAATACAATTTGTAATTTGCACAACCAGATCCTGAAGCATTAGCCGGTGAGATGGGAGAGATGGACCTGGAACCAGGTGACCATGGCAACTTTAGTGAAGATGATGATGATGATGATGATGGTGCAATGGCAGGAATAGATGATCTTCCAGATGACGCTGACGTCTGTTTTAAAGAGCATTCTGGTAAACACGTTTCTCTCATTATATGCGCACACAATAAAAACAACCCTAGCCAACAAGTATTTGTACCGATGTAGAAATACTCTGGTCATTGTTACCATCACATGGATGCCACATCACATGGATGCCAATAATTACATCATACTATCGGTAATATTTGTTTGTTTGTTTGTTGTAGCATCGGTATTTTCTTGTGATGTTGACCCCAAAACAAGCTCCCTTGTTGTAACAGGAGGGGAAGATGACAAGGCATTTGTATGGAACATTTCTGATGGACAAAAAGTATTTGAATGTACAGGTAAGATTTGACTAATTTTAAAATAATTAAATCTAAAATAATTAAATTAAATTAAAACTTATTCCTTATAATAAGTATTCTAATTCAGACTTCACTTTAATTTAGGCATCATACGAGAGTGAAAAGCCTTAATTTGGTTCTCAATTAGACATTGAAAAGTTTATAGTTCAACAAAAAAATCTTTTGGTATAGTTATAACAAATATTGTGATTTTAATGTAATGTGCATTGGTTTTAATTTTGTTGAAGATGTTTCAAATAAAAACAAACCCAAATGCAATGATCACTGTAGTGCATACTGTTAATCAAATCAAGTTGCTTAATAACCAAACAGAAACTTTTTATTTTTTCAAATTCTTCTTGGAAACTACATGTCTGATTGCTTTGATATTATATAATCTATATTGTTTCTACAGATGAACCAACTCTCAGATTTGTTCATTTTGTGATAATATCTTCAATGCTTTAATTGAAATGTGCGTTGATAACAGCAGAGCTATCTCAGCCAATAGACTGATTGTTTGAATAGCCGAATATTGCTGGTGAATTTAGCATTTCTAGATAGCGTCATCTACGACAGATCCTTGTTGAGAAAATATTGTAACAGCTCTAACTTAGATAAGCTTCCAATTATTATTTCAATAAATAACCAAACAAAACAAAATGTTGCAGGTTGCTCATGTTGAACTGTCAAGCTGATTTTCACTGTAATTGTACACACTGGTTTGCAACGTTGTAACATATCACTTTATACAATGTAGGTCATAAAGATTCTGTTACATGTGTCGCCTTCAGTAGCGACTCTGAACTTCTCGCGACAGGGGATATGAGCGGGGTAATAAAAGTGTGGAAAATTGCAAACAAGTCTGAGATATGGTCATTTGATTGCTCTGATTTAGAGGTAAGTGTGTGAAGGTTCACCTCCACAATAGTCTTTCTGTCTAATTGATGGTAGAATAATGTAATTTTTAAAACATGGACATAAAGGTAGTATCAGAATTGAGGGGGAAGGGTATGTGCATTTCATCACCAAATGTATTTTAAAGACTGGTCTGATCAAATTGTCGAAATATTGGGCCAAAATGTGCAATTGTATATCGAATTTAGTTGGGGTTGCATGCGATAGCTTTTATTTTTTTTAAATTATTGTTACAAATTGATACTATAAACTACATTGTTATCATTTACAAAATATACTTTCATAATTTTCCATGTCTTTTCAAATACAAAAAAATTATCAAGACAATAATATTACATATAGAAAAATACATTGAAATATGTTACAACAAAATTATGGCAACAACAAAAATGATAGCATTATGTTTCTCATTGTGGTGTTACTTTGTTGTTATTTTCTATAGTGGATAACATGGCATCCAGTGGCTCATGTACTGTTAGCCGGTACTGCTGATGGCAATGTATGGATGTGGAAGATACCTACAGGGGATTGTAAGACCATGCAAGGACCAGGACTGCAAACTACTACAGGAAAAATATTACTTGATGGTAAGATAAATTTCATGTATACATGTATCTTATAGGTTTGTTGGTTGCCGCACTGCATTGCATGGAATACAAGTCCCATATTAACAAAACTTGAGTGTTGCACAGATGAATTGCTGGGATGATGAGCCAGGGATTGCGTTAACCCCAAATTCTGCTCCCTGGACCCCCAATATTAAAGAGGGACCCCCACTTACGGTAAATGCTAAAAGGGGCCCCATTTGTGCACAGAATATATGGCAAGTTCCAGTTCATTTTCTCAATGACCTGCTCGTTACCCGAAAATGCTAACACAATTCCTGATTGGAATACTAGTACATAGAGGAATTTTCCAAGAAGCCAAAGTTGGTATTATATGCCTTTCATGTCCAGATCAAAACTTTCATATAGTGCTCGTCACTTGGAAAACGGAAAGTGCATTGGATTGTGAGAAATTCACAGTGTATAGTTTGCACGTGTGCCGTGCAACAACCATCACCCTTTAAAATGCAACAATTTTGGAATCAATGTAAATCTACTCACAAGATTGTGCCTGATTGGCTATCCAACCCTAACAGTCAGATCAATCAGAGAGCAGCTTCTTTGTTGACTGTTTTTTTATTTTTGATGTATCGAATTTTGCTCTTACCTCAACTGCAACTTTAATGGTGTCGCAGGTTTAGAAAAAGCACTGCCTCTCACTTGTGCAGATTCTCTGCTATGATTAACACAGTAGGAAACAAAATGGCATTTGCATTAAAAACTTATTTGTGAATTGACCTTGTAATTGCATGTGTTTTGTAGGTAAAAGATGCTGTGCTGGTTACGAGGATGGATCTTTACGGGTGTGGGATTTGAAAGATGCCAGTGTGTCACAGTCTTTCACAGGTTTGCAAGTTATAATAATATTTATACTTAGTCTAATAAAAAATAACAATAATTCAACAGTAATGCATGGTGCTAAATCAAGACATATTTTTGCTTCCCATCCAAACAGGGCAATCAGCTCACAGCGGCGGTGTGACCTCGTTGGCGTGTCATCATGAGGGATCATTGGTGATGTCAGGATCTGTTGATGGTACAGCTAAAATACTTAATCCAAACAATGGAAAGGTAAGGTGGTTAACAGTTCATTCCAATTGGCAAGCCAGTGTGATTTACTTTGTTGGTTCTGAACAAGTGTCTGTTAAAAGTATGTTACAAATCTATAAATAGAACAGTGGAAATCATCGCAAATCTGAACAAAATGTAATATAATGCAGCGGTAGCCATCTTTGATTTTGAGCAAAATAGTTCAGTGGGCTTGTGTCGAAAACGTCACTACCGGTAGTCTTGGCCTTACAAACATTGTATTCAACTGGTCTACATATAAATGATGATTGCTTGGCTTAACAATGTTTTGGATCAGTGTTACTCAAATCCAAAATGTTGGCATGACCACTTATTGGAAATCTATGAATGTGTTGGCAACAAATTACATTACTTACTTGCTGTAGTGAAGCTCGTATTTGTGATATACGTTTATTGAGTAAAAGTTTTGTAGCATCATTGGGAATTATACATCAGTGTTTTCTACTACAGGTGATAGCAACATTTTCAGTGGGAGATTCAAATAGTGATGACTCAAACTCTGTAGAAGCTGTTGGTTTCTGTAATAGGTATATATGCATCTAATTATCTTTCACTTGTGAATATTCAAATCAGGTATTCACTCATGATATAACTGACATTCACTAAATATGAATTTTCAATTCATAGCTCATATTCATTTTTTAATATTAATATTCAAAACGTAGCTGACATTCACTTAATATGAATATTTAAATCGTAGCTCAAATTCACTAAATATGACTATTCAAATCATATCTCTCATTCACTAAATATGAATATACAAATCATAGCTGACATTCACTAAATATTAGACTGGCGCAGTCGGGGCGATTAATTTTTATTTGTAGTTTAAGGTAGCGAGACTATTATTTGCATACTTGTTTTCATCTTCTAATTGTGACTAAATGACTACAAATAGACCCGGGAAAGTATATATTTTTAGAATCGCCAGACTTCAAGCTTTTCACAAGTGTATTTTGCATGCCCGTATCTGCACTCTACGACGCGTTACTCAATCAAAGGTGAAAAATTACTTTTTCTGTAAAAAAAATAATTACGCATTTACGCTGGCGATAAGAAGTATTTTTTTCACTTTTCCTAGTTGTTCAATAGTCTGGTAAATTGAATGTGTCTGGTCAGTTTTATT